TTTCCCTCTCAGCGCATAACCTATTGAGGGGCAACATGCTCTGTAGGACTGCTGTGAGCCAGGACTTAGTTGCTTCTTAGCCTGTGTGCTGAATTCGGGGAATTGTTGTTGTGTGTACACTGTGCTCCCTAGCGTTTACTTGGAAATAAATGAACGGTGCAAAAGCTAACCCTCACTTTATTTTCTGTTTACTTTTGTTTTTTGATTTTTTTTTTAGTATGTGTTTGATCCTTTTAGTAAATGCAGCGACTTTGGCTTTTGTAGATGCTGGGTTTTCTGCAGCTGACAGAGAAGCAAGCTTGGAGTTAATAAAACTGGATATCTCAAGAACGTTTCCTAATCTCTGTATTTTCCAGCAGGTAAGCAATGTTAACTTTTACCTTAACTTCTCAGAGAAATTAGGTTTACGTTATCTTGTCTGTCCCTTGGTTGGAACAGCCGGTTGAGTTCAAATCTGAGGGAGGTAAACTTGAAAAAGTTCCTAAAAATTCTGGAAAACTATAAATCAGTTAGAGAATAGAGACCCCAAGGTACTAGACATTTGGTAGAGGCTGAAGACAATCTGTTGGCAAATCAGCACGTGCTGATTTGTCTAGCCTAGTTCATGCTGATTTCTGTCTGATGAAGTGATGTAGGGCAATATTTCCAAGCCAATGAATCAATGTTGCTGAGTTGCAAGTACACTGGAAGTGAAAGAGAGCTCAGCCCAAGCAAGCAGGCGTTGCTGGCCTCTCTTTGGTTCCATGCGAGACCAACTTGTATACCTTTACTGTGTTTTAATGACGCACTCGTTTTAATCAGACGTTTTGTCCTTCTATACGTAGATTTCAGCATGCCTGTAAAATGTCTAGGTTGTGATGAATCAACGTTTCTAGGTGAAAACCTTTTCCCTTCGAAAGTTCTCAGCCAGTTGTAGTAGTCCCTGTAAGATAAGGCACCTGTTAACAGTCAACAATGTGAAATTCTGTTTTAGCTGTAGAGATGCTTGATATGCTGTGTGTGTGTTAAGGCATTTTTTTTTAACTGTTTTTGTCATGATGGAATTTTTCCTCCAGCCTAATAGATGCTCTAGTAGATTCTCGTTAGTGTTCTGCTTTCTTGGCACTGTTAAAATGCTGCTAAGCTATAGTGAATCTCTTTTGCTTACCTCCCTCTTATATCTGAATTTAGTGTGAAACTGATCTGTTGCATCAACTGTGTGTGTCTGCATTAAATGTGGTGTGGATGGTTGTTTCATGCTGTTAAAGCTAAAGCTTCTTTTGAAAGAGTTGGAGGTGTTCAAAGCTTTGTAGAGAAACAACATGTCCTTCATCAGAAGTTAACAGATACTGACTGTAGCATTGAAGGGGTTTTGTGTGTGTTATGCTCAGATGTATTGTCTTGTTTTTGTTTAATTATAGGGTGGTCCTTACCATGACATGTTGCACAGTATTTTAGGAGCCTATACTTGTTACAGACCTGATGTAGGCTATGTAAGTCAAAAGTTTTCTTCTGGGGGAGGGAGGGGATAAAGAGGGGGATGAAGGATTGTGTTAATCTGTCCTTCATAGACTAGTGTAACATGATTTTATGAATACTTGTGGGTTTTTATCTATGCTTTTTTTCTATCCCAGTACATGCTTGAGAGGTGTATCTAATTATATGTAATGGTTCTATTGCTAGATTTAAGCTTTTTAACAGGTTAAGACTTTGGACATCTCAAAAGTACATTTTGTTCTGCTTGAAAATTGGAGTTGAAGAGAAGATGTTAAATTACTCCTCTGTAGCACACGCTGTTCTTGACTGTAGTCTTACCAAGACTGTTCTCTTAAATTGAGTATCTTCTTCCTTTTGATTTGCATGTCTGTGCCTTAGCGCTCTGAGCTTCTGCAACATTCTCTAAAGCAATGTCCATCAATGTCCAAGCGAGCTCCCTCAGAGCATTCAGAGTAGTGGTATGAAAGGACTGAGTGGGTTCCAGGTACTTTCAGTCTTTTTACCACAGCAGGGATGTGTACAGGACCTTGTTCTTTGTTCTGGAGCAGTTATTTTAGAGAAGGCAAACGTGGAAAAATACCGTTCCTATTCTGAGTGGCGCTTGATGCTCGGCAAAAACTTCTGAGCGTGACTGCCGAGAAACCTGGAAAAGGGCGGATCAGACGGTGTGCTTCACTGTGGCATGGGGTCCGTTGTGTTGTGGTGGAGCATAGTCTTGGAAGCACTGTCACAGCTTAGTCCGTGTGACTAGGTGATGGGAGCTCTGCATGCTTTAAATGAGCAGGCCTTGCCAAGATTCAGCATCGAATCCGTTGCCTGCTTTGTGGAAAAGTGCACTAATACAGTGGGCTTATGGTAAATGAAGAATGAGCTTCATTATCTTAAAAAGTTACTACTTGTCATAGGAGTCATTACAGTTGTTCATAACTGCCAGGTAACTGATTGGAAGAGGAAGGAACAGGCCTTGTCTCTAGTGCCCCAGTCCAGCTTTCCACAAGCAAGGATGTATATGACCCATCCTTAGGAAAAGAGAGATTACTTATAAACAATCTGTTCGTCAAAAAAAAAAAAAAATCTTTATTCTGTGTATTTGAAAGTGCTGTTATCTTGGCCTTGCCTGGGAGTTTTAATTTGGGTCTTTGAAAGGAGTTAACATGCGGATCACTAGCATCCATATTGTGAACATTCAGTGCCGAGTGGTTATGTGACTTAAAAAATCCTAGCTTTCCGAAAGACTCACAAAATTTGGCAGCACCAGTGATTTTATTAAACACTAGTGATTACAAAGTCAGAAAGAGGCAGCGTTCTTGGAAGGATACAGTTCTTGCTGAATGGTAACACTTCTCCTTTCTTCAGGTACAGGGCATGTCATTCATAGCAGCAGTATTGATCTTGAACTTGGATACTGCAGATGCCTTCATCGCTTTTTCTAACCTTTTAAATAAACCCTGTCAGATGGCGTTTTTCCGTGTGGACCATGGCCTTGTAAGTATGCAAGAAAATTGCAATCTGTATATTGCAGATCTGTGTACCTAAAGTTTAAAAAATGTCATGGGCTCAGTAGCCTGAGAAAGAGGTAAGAATTTATTTTAAAGCACCACACTTAAAGAAAGGAAAAGAAAAAAAAAAAGAAAGAAAAAGAAAAGAAAAAAAGACAAAAAGACAAAGATAGACACTCCCAACACCGAACCCACCAACCTTTTTGAACAGGCAGATGAATGAAATTGTTCAGCTGAATATTTTATGATGCTCAGCGAATGGTTACAAGAATATTATTGCAGTTGTTTTTAAGCTTGAGCACTATAGTTGAAAGCTGTAAGCAGCTTAATAATCTTAGAAAAAGTGATTTGAGGGCACTTTTTATCCCCAACTATTAGGTTGCTAAAAAAATAATCTGTTAAGGGAGGAACCAGCTTTCCCATCTCTTACTGTAGCAGCTGTGTTTTAAAGGGAGCCTGCAGGAATGAGATGAGCAGACCTTTTCAATTTTCAGTGGGTGCCGGGTGCCTGATTCTCTCTGGATTCTCTGAAATGCCTTGTTGTCATGCTCAGCGGACTACTTGCACACCACAGCAAAATAAGGCATCTCCGGAAATGTTTTTAATTTATTTTAAAAGTAATTTTCTTAAAACATCTGGCATTCTGTATTTATTTCTCACTTACTTACATTTTGGCACTAGGAAAAGAGGAACTGTTTCTCGAGAGTTCAAATGGGAGAAATAAAGCAGGGGAATAGATGACATCAGCACTGATTACTTGTGTTGCTTAAACAGCAGGGCACTAGGAGTCCTATCGACGTTTCCTGCTGGAAAAGCAGTATATAATTCCCGGTTGCAGTCCTTGAAACTCATCAGTTGTAAACGCCAAGGGGTAGAACCACAGCTCAGACAGCATTGCTAGAAGTAGTATCAGTCATCTCTGTGACTGGACCTGGAAAAAGAGGACATACTCAAGCATTCAGTGTACAAATACTGTTTCTGTGAAGATGGTTTCATAATTAATGAATACTTACGAAGAGTAGAAGTGGCCATATGTGAAGAAATATGAACGTGTTCTGAAATTACAAAGTCATGACCCTCATCAAGAGGAAAACTTTGTATCTAGTATTTCAGAGTGGTGAGACAAAGGGAGAAAATTTTAACTTCTTATGATTAAAACACTGATCTGCTGTGTATGTACCCTGATCTTTTTGTCAGTTTTACAGCTTAATAATCACATACCGGTTTGTCTTAAGGTTAAATAAATAAATAAATAAATAAATAAATCCCAAAGGTAAAAACAATGTAAGACAGTTGCAGAAGTGCTAGTACTGTATGCCGGTTTCTCTTGATTTCTTTTATTGGTCACAGTATTACCAAACTAGAACAAATGTAATTACTACTAAAGAAATGCCTTATTGAATGTTGGTTTGATCAAGATAAATATCTGAACTACTATTGCATTTTTAATAGCGCTGCCTGCATCACTTTCAATGGATGTGATTGTAGCAGAGTTATGTGTAAAACTCCTTCCCTAAAGTAGTTTTGAAAAGCTTTAGTAGAACTCTCTTACTGTAGTATTAGTATCCAAACATATAGATCGTTTAGAAAGTAGGACTGCCTGTTGCATTACCTGTCTCCTTGTTTGTTCTTGCAGATCTCACGTGATGCTGGATTTCATGTATTTAAAACTGACAGAATTCAGAGATTTTACATAACTTTGACTATTTCTGTAGCACACACCCATCCGATTGGCTTTTAAGTCTTATACTCTTATTGACTGCTACTCTTTTTTATTATTATTTTATTTATTTGCTGTTGTTTATGAAGATAGTCCACCACCTGTCACTTCATTCAGATGAAACAGGAAAAAGTCCTGTAAGGACATAGCAAAAAGCAAAGGAAACAAGTGTTTCATTTGTTTAAAAAGGCTTCAATCAAAACTGATTTCCCATCCAAACTACTCTTCTCCCTTTATGCTCTTGGTGTTTTGGGGAGACGCATGCGGACAAAGCTCGTACTTTGAGGAAATCACAACCGTTCTTTATTGCTTTAGTCAGGGTGTTGTAATTAAAAATAATGGGTCATTCAAGGACTTGGCTGAACTTTCCTCCTTATAGTATTAAGAGGACTGGGGGGTAAAAGCCAAAAAGCCTTTTGTATTTAACTATTGAAAAATTCCTCTTTTAGTTGAATGGGATGATTTCCTCCTCCTCCCCCCCGCCCCGGCCTTCTATTATGGAATGTAACCCAAATACTCAAATTTTAAAATAACTTCAAGGTCTTCGTGTTAAAAGCAGTCTGCTTCAGGGTTTGAGGTATCAGATTGGAGTCAGAATCTGTTTCCGTCTTGCATAGCTGATTTGTCCTGATCTTTGGCTTTTCTGTGTGTACTTTGTCTCTCTTTGCAATAGAAATGGCTATTATCCCTTTGTCGAACTTCTTGTATAATAGAAGCTTCCTTATTTGAATATGATTAGTAACTACGTAACAACTTGACACTTCACTCTTGCTGTGGACTGTTAAATCATTTTAGCTTCAAATTTCGTTTTATAATCCCTTGGGCCTTGGAGTTTGTTCAGCATAGTATTAGGTCACTGCCACAAACATAAAGCACCATTTTGTTATCATAATTATCTTGAGTAATCAGCAAATAACTTCTCTCCTACTGATATTTTTCTTTCTAAAGGAAGCTAGCCTAGACCCAAAACAGTTATTTGGTTGTTTAATATGAGAAGGATATATAGAGTGGCTCTCAAACACTTGAGTGCACACAGATGCTGTCCTTTATGTAAACATTTAGCTCTGTATTGTATTGTGTAACTCATATGATCCTGTTTTTGAAGTATATTAATCTAACAACAAATACTGTTTTAAGCCTATTAATAATACGGCTAACTGCTTTCTTCCATTGTATTTCCCCAGATGTTGACTTACTTTGCTGCATTTGAGGTATTCTTTGAAGAAAATCTGCCAAAGTTATTTGCTCACTTCAAAAAAAATAACCTGACTCCAGACATCTATCTTATTGATTGGTAAGACTTTCAAAGTATAATTACCTATGTGCATACTAGCTTATAGCTCCATGTTCCTATTCATGACATAAATGGGAGTGCTGTTAGCTGTTTCACTGTTCTTTTAAGATAAACATTTCATCTTCTGTTCAATAATTGTGTTTTTATGTCCGTCCAAATCATCCCTACAGCGATACTTTTGTAATCTGTTCAAATTCTAGGTTAGGCAAATATTAAAGTTAATTCTGAAATGCACCTGTATAGCAATTTATCCCATATTTTCTACATATTTGGACTGATCTGAGAAAAATCTATTAGCTTATCTTCTACTGTTTCCTTCTAGTGCAGGTGTGTACCGAGCCATGTATTCAGGCAATAATGCTAGGCTTGCGCTAGACATGAATAGTATGTCCTTCCGCAGGAAGAGTCGTTAAAACGTAATATTTCTGTCCACACAAGAAAGAGCCTAGCAGTTACAGAAAGGCAAGCATCTAGGCTTTTGGCAAGATGAATCAAGACTCTTGGCTAGGGTCTTACTCATATGTGAGATGGTCTCAGAACCTATTTAGAGGATCCCAGTACAGGTGTTTCAGAAACTGATCTTGACCTAGTCCATTGCAGTAGCAAAAGGGTTTCGGCTGATTTTGAGTAACTCTGGCTGTTCCATGAAGCAGACAGGTTAGTTTTAATTTTTCTAACTGAAGAGGCTGCCTGCTTTTTTAATTCTGATGAAATTAGAACTTTTTTCTTTAGAGAGAGAAAAAATAAGCAAAGATCTCATTTGCAGCCCTGTCAAATTTCAGTAAAGTATAAAGCAATCTAAATTGAGTAAGTGCATTTGTGCCTATCAGGTTTTGGTTTGATGGCAGCTGAAGTGTCTCTCCTCAGTAAGCAAGACTTCAGCAGTTCCTGTCTGTCAACTTCAGGATCATGCAGTGTCTTTTTTTGTGAAAACCGATTTGCTTTTAAATTTCTGTTTTTACGTATCTGACTAACTGCCTTCAGTAAAAGCTGAAATTTTCAGTAGTAACAGCATTTTTTCTGAGATTCTTAACTTATTATTTTGGAAAACACTTATACTGTTCATGCGGTTCTGTCTGAACCAAGCTCTAAATACCCTGATGACTTAAGAGGAGTACTTGTAATTGTTAGCAATGAGGGTGTTGCTGATCCACTCTATAGAATTCTGTTTAAAGTCATTTGGTCTGATCCAACAGCTACAAGCCTGAACATGTGAGTTTGCATAGCATCATAGAATGGCTGAGGTTGGAAGGGACCTCTTCAGATTGTCTGGTCCAACCCCTCTGTTCAAAGCAGGCACAACTAGAGCGGTGTGCTCTAGACCATGTCCAGTTTGGTTTTGAATATCTCCAAGGATGGAGCTTCCACAACCTCTCTGGACAACCTCTTCCAGTGTTTGAGTACTCTCACAATTTTTTTTTTTTCCTTATGCTTAAATGGAATTTCCTGTATTTCAATTTGTGCCCGTTGCCTCTTGGATACCCCTGAGAAGCGTCTGGTTCTGTCATCTTTACTCCCATCAGGAAATTATATACGTTGATAAGATTCCCCCATGAGCCTTCTCTTCTCCAGGCTAAACAGGCCCAGCTCTCTCAACCTCTCCTGGTTATGTCACATGCTCCAAGCCCTTAATCATCTTCAGGGACCTTCGCTGGACTCGTTCCAGTATGTTGATGTCTCTCTTGTACTGGGGAGGCCAGAACTGGACACAGTTCTCCAGGTATGGCCTCACCAGTGCTGAGTAGGGAGGGAGGATCACCTCCCTGGACCTCCTGGCAACACACTTCCTAACGCAGCCCAGTGCTGGCTCGTGTTCATCTTGTCACTAGGACCGCATGTCCTTCTCTACAGAGCTGCTTTCCAGCTGGTTGGCCCCTAGCCTGTAGCAGTGCGTGGGATTATTACTTCCCAGGTGCAGGACTTTGCCTTTCCCCTTTGTTGAGCTTCGTGAGATTCCTGTTGGCCCCGTTTCTGCAGCCTGTCGAGGTTCCTCTGAATCGCATCAGCCACTGCTCCTGGTTTTGTATCACCTGCAAACTTGCTGAGGATGTGCTCTGTCCCATCATCCAGGTCATTGAGGAAGACGTTAAACTGCACTGGCCCCAGTGTGGAATGCTGGCGTATACCATTAGTGCCTGGCCTCCAGCTGGACTTTGTGCTGATGATCAAAGTCCTGTGAGCCCGCCAGTTCAGCCAGTTTTCAGTCCGTCGCATTTATCTAGTCTGTACCTCATTAGTTTGTCTGTGAGGATGCTATGGGAAACAGTGTCAAAAGCCTTACTAAAATCAAGATAAGCAATATCCACTGCTCTCCGCTTATCCACCAAGCCAGCCATCTTGTCGCAGGAGGCTGTCAGGTTGGTCGGGAATGATTTTCCCCTACATAAATCTATGCTAACTACTCCCAGTCACCTTGTTGTCATTCGTGTGTCTCAAAATGGTTTCCAGGAGAATTTGCTCCATCGCCTTCCCAGGGACGGGAGTCAGTTTGTAGTTCCCCCGATCCTCCTCCTTGCCCTCCTTGAAGATAGGAGTGATGTTCATTTTCTTCCAGTCCTCAAGAACTTCCCTGATGGCTTTCAAAAATAATTGAGAGTGGCCTCGCAGTGACATCAGCCAGCTCCTTGGGCACTCATGTGTGCATCCCATCAGGTCCCATGGACTTGTGTATGCCATTTTTGTTTTGGTATTTCTTTTTCGCTTTTGTTTTTATTTTTGTTTTTATTTTGATCCTCCTCCACCTTGTTTGGAGCGACTTACTGGAAGTAAGTCGTCTTTGCTCTGGGCTTTCCCACTGGTTTCAAGGACCTGGGATTCCTAAGGCCACTCTCCTCAGTAAAGACTCAGGCCAAGGAGGCACTGAGTACTTCAGCCTTTCCTGTGTTCTTTGTGATCAAGTCCTCTGTCCCATTCAGCACCAGGCCCACGTTTTCCCTGGTGTTTTTGCTACTGATGTACCTGTAGAAGCCCGTGTCACCCTTAACATCCCTTGCCGTGTTCAAAATCAGATGGGTTTTGTCTTTCCTAACCCTTTCCGTGCATGCTCCAGCAGTGTCTCTATGTTCTTTCTGGGTCATCTGGCCCTGCTTCCACCTCTTGCGCGCTTCTTTTTTATATTTGAGTTTTATCGAGCTCCTTGTTCATCCATACAGGCCTCGTGCTGCTTTTGCTCGACTTCCTTGATTTTCAGATGCTCTGTAGAGAGGACAGTGTAACTTGAATTTTATTAGACTTTGCTTTTTATGCTTTGGATGAAATTTTAATGCAACATGAATGGAGGTATGAGGCGAAGTGTGATGGGTAGGCTTATTTTTCCTAACATTCAGGAGAACGATGAGAAAGATGTTTATGACTGAAGGCTGAGGAAAATTAAACTGAACTGTATAATGCACAGATCAGGAATATGCTGGAAAAATACTGGAATGGGATAGAAGGGAAGGAAGAAGGCAAGAGGCTGGTAAATCTAGTGATAAGAGGAAAGATATTGGTATTAAACCTCCGAAAGTGGTGTTAGTAGCCTCTGTATGAAGCAAGCCCTTGAGTTAAAGGGATATCAGAATAGGAAGACTGTAAACATGCAGGAGAATAACTGGTTAGAGACACCTTTAAAATCACCAGATCATTTTCTGCCTTAATGGATTACTAGCTGTTACAAGTAAGGTGCTCTTTAATGTAGGAAAGACTAAAAACGTGTGTCTCCATGGTGTAGGAGCTGTTAACATCACTCTGTTGTCTACCTTTGAGTGTTACGTTTTTAACGAGATTCTGAAGAGAACAGCAGAATTTGGAGATTTGGAAAAAACAGTCTTGAGGAAATGTTGAAGGCTTGCATTGCCCCTCAGGAATTTTCCTTTAGTAGACGAGCGTTTGTTATTTCTTCTTTAATGAAATTTTATTTGATCGGTTGTTCTCTGACCACGTTTGTAGCTAGAACAAGAAGAAATTGATTGATTTAAGAGCAAAGAACTGAGCTGCTGAAATCTGAGTTAGTGGGACATGTTGGTCCCCCTCCCCTTTTGTTCCTCTTTTGGGTGTTGTTAAGAGTAAGAGTTTCTTGAAAGACACTTCTCTCGGGAGTGATTGTGGATGGTGATTCTCACGTTTTTTGAACCAGTGGACCAGCAACCCTCAACATTTCTTGCCGACTGTCTGCACCTATATTAAATCTGTACATTTTAATCCCAAAGACTGCGTCCTATGTTTCCCCTCCCACTCCCATAGGATCACAGCACTAAGATGGTTTTAGCTCAGGAATGTGGACTAGTTGAGGTAGGTCCCCAGCTCTTCTCCAGTCCTTATTATTAAAACTTTTCATACTCCTTATTAAAGCAGTATTAATTTTTTTTTTCATACTTGTCAGAGTGGGAGAAGCATCTACCTCCGTCTTTAGTTTTGCTAGATAATGGGGTTGGTATTTAACTGCATAATATTTAGGTACAATATTCAGATACTTTCTCCTTTCAAATCCGTTGATGCCATAGGAAGCAGATTTAGATTTGCTTTTTTTGTGGCCACTAGAACCTGAAAAAGAATTGAGGTTTATATGCCAGCTCTTCTTCGTTACAATTGGTATGGAGCTAGAGATTAAGCGACATAGAAAAGGTTGCCAGGAGAAAGTGAAATGGGTCTGTGTTCTCAGAAGTGACTAACTATTAAGGCAAAGGACTTCTGAAAATTTTGTTTAGGAGGTTGCCTGTGGCTCATGAAGGACTGCCATTGAAATTTGACAGTGCATTTGCTGCAGTACAAATATCACTCCATGAAAAACAGAACCGTTCAGGAAAGATAGAAGTGAGGTTTCATTATTTTTAAAGTTAGGGAAGAATACTGCACAGTATTACTTGCGCAACTTTGCACGCGGTGAATTCTGAGCAGACAAGCCTTTTGGTTGTAGGTAAAAATCTCTTTGAAGCAGCCGTGCTCTAACAACGTTACCTTTATTTTAAATGCTTATTTGTTCTGAGCTCCAAAGGGACGCCTGCTGCTATTCTGGTGGCTGGCATGGTTACTGTGCAAGCATCTATGCAGTAAATCCCTGTTGGTGCCAGCTCTGGGAGGGTTCCAGTAGCCAGTGTTGCACAGACCAGTTGCTGGGAAACCCTCCTGCTCCTGCTGCAATTACAGTTGAATTAACTAGTCTCCTTTGTGCTGCTTCGTGCAACTTGGAGGCCACAGGGAATGGTGATAAAATTGTGCTTAAATCATTTGCTGAAGGGATGCGTTCCAAGAAAAAGCAAGACTGTGTGTGTAGCTGGGTCTGGATATGCAAATGGTGTAATGCTGCTCGGAGTTCCTGGGGTTTGGTAGAGGTTTTGGGAAATGGAGCTCTCCTGTCAGCTTGGTTCTGTTACTGTGTTCTGTGATGGGAAAACTTGAAAGCATTTAAGAATTTAATTAAAAGGTACAGTGCAATGATTTTCAGTGGATGCCTGCCAGGAGTAAGGCATCTCTTTTATAAAGCATGTATTTGCTTCAAGCCATAATTCCAGCTGCTAAATCTTATAGTAAGAATTCAAAAGCCAGGCAGGTTTTTACTTTTTGGAGAAATATAAAGTGAATCAAACATGAGAGGGCTGTAAGGAGCGATGTGCAGCAGTCAGGTTCACAGAGAATAGAGAGGAAATAGTGTCTGAATAGCCCGTTTTTGGCCACCTCCAGTAGAATCCCGTGGAGAAGCGGACTCGGCTCTCTGTCAGCTGATTCACCACAAGCTCTTTTGAGGAGAGCAAAATGCGGATTTGTGAAGGATGCGTGCTGTCTATTTACGGCCTGCTGCTGCTACTCAAGTACCTCTTTATCTCCCTGCTCAGAAGAATGGTTTTGGCAATAATGATAGCCAAAGGCTTTATTTGTACTGATGGATTTATCAGTGGTTCTTTAGTATTGCATTGATTGTGATTATGCTCTGTAAACAGCGAATTTCTTTTGACACCATGCGCTTGTTATGATGAACCTCCAAGCCACTTTGTTTATGTGGATTTGTGGTGGGCACTTCCAGTGAAGTGTTTATAGCCTTGCTGTGTATTACAGTAAGAGAAGCTTAGTCCCTGCCGTTCCAGTAATACTCGACCCCCTTAGCCCCCTTCCCTCCCCCAGTGAAGCTCACACTGGTGCTTTGGATGCATGCCTCCCTCTCGAAGAAAAAATTAAGCAGAAACCTGGACTGTAATTTTATCCAGAGGATTTTGATGACGTTCTGCATTTTTGAGTCAGACTTGTTACTGGATTTTCTTGATAAAACTAGGGTCTTTGACCCAATTTATGGCGTGCCGGATCCTCCTGTCGTTACAGGTTGTGATGGAATCGGTTGAAATACTGCGTTACTGTGTAGTACTCCTAGGTGAGAACAGGGCTTGTTGGGTGCTTCTGATTTGTTGGAAACTTTTGATTAAAAAAAACAAACAAACCAATATTTGTATTATATTGGTAGGTTTTTAGTGTATGGTCAGAATTTTACTAGGTAATTTAAAAGTTGCTCTGTTGCAGTCAGTGCTGTATAATACATAATATTTAAGGTTTTTTTCCCCCTCCTCCTCCTTTTAACTGTAGTGATTTGGCTAAAATTGTACTAAGAAAACTGTTACCAAAAAGCTTATTCCAATAACCCTGAAGTTGCTAATGGGAAAAGAGATATTCACTATACAATAAGGTAATGCATGAAAACTTAAAGATGCAATCTTTTTCCCAAAGGAGCTGGTTGAAATTGATACAAAATGTAACAACTGAGAACTAGTACCAGGATGAAGGAGAGACAATCTGGGAATAAGATTCTAAACTGAATTAGTTCAGCAGTTCACACAACTGAACTCAGAAGCTGTAGAAATACTTCTGTGCTGTTAAAAGATACAGCAAAAGAATGTGTAGTGCAAAAACGTGCAAGATCGGATCTGCGTCAGAGTTAGTGTGCAACAGTTGGTCCAAAATCTGGTGTACCTCTCTTCAGCCCTGTTGCTAGTGATGTCTTATGAAGACTAATTAAAAAACAACAACACACACGCACACACATGCGCGCGCGCACACACACGCCCTCCAGCACATGTGATTATCCTGGTGGCAGTGCTGTCTTGGTAAGATTTTGGTCATATGCTTTCCCTATGCATCTAGCTCAAAATGCGCTTTCCTCATAAGCGGGCCCAGGAGGAGCAGGAGCATCTGGTACTTTGTTTTTCCTCATCTGAGCAGGTGTCAGCCACTAGCCTGCATTTATGCTACTTCAACACTGGACGTCTCTGTACTCGTTATCTTGTCCATACCTGGGACTTTCAGTGAGTTGAAAAAGAACTGCGGACAGAAATTCATCCTGCAGGAAAGCTAAAGCAGGTCATGTGCAAGTAGTGTGCTGGGACTGCAGAGAGCCAGTGGTCTAATTTGTTTCAGTGTAGCAGCTGTATTATTACTTGTAATAAATTTGAGCTGGGGTTCGGTGTAGTAGCTCAAATGTCTAATAAAAATATCTTTCGGTAGGAAATGTTTTAGAGGCGCATGTGCTATATCTGTTCTTACCGACAGTGATTGTTACTGTTGTTTTGTTCCATCTTCTAGGGGGCCCGATTTCCATTCCTAGGGCTTGACACATTTAATTCCATACTAGTATTAATGAAAACTAATTGCCTTGCAGATTCCTTGCAAATTGCACTTCCTTGCAAATTATGAAGAGATCAATGTCAGATTCCTTATTTGAAGTGACAGGTTTTTGGTGTGAATAAATCTCTTCCTACAAAGAAGAGTAGAGCTCTAATAAACAGATGTGAATGTTTCTTCTCACAGTTAATTTTCTCTATAGTTGCAGATTTAACACCTGGGTTATTCAGGTTAGGTCTGAATCATCGCAGCAGCATAGCTTCTGTGAATGACAACAGAGCAAAAAAAAAAAAAAAAAAAAAAAGGTGTTGTTACTCATCTTTAACCAGGATTAGTCTAGCTGACTGTTTCCCTGTTACCTGGTGACCAGGAAAGGACTCGGTTGAATTACTTCCTGTTACGTTGTTCTATTTAAATAGAAAACCTGTTGCTGTTTTCTGTGTGTGTGTGTGTGTGTGTGTGTGTGTATAGTCAACAAGCCTTACTCCTGCTGTGCAAGTGTTTCGTAGCAAGGCACTTTTATATATGGGATGTGACTGTACAAAAAAGTTGAAAGAGTATATGGAGTCTGCAACAATATGGTCAGTTAAATTCCAAAAGAAGGGAATATTTTTTTTTTAACACTTTATTTTTTTTCATTCTAGACTCTGCCCCTTATTTGCGTACTTCTTAATTTTATAATTTAGCTTTTTGGAGAAGAGATTTTCATGATTTCTACTTCTAAAAAAATACTAACATCAGACAAAATATCTAAAGTAAAATATCACAAGTTCCCAAACCTGCAGTTTTCTTGTCATCTGATTTTGTGCAAATGGTTTAATCTCATCTTGCGGCTTGTAAAATGAGCATAATATTTTTGTCATTTTGTTAAAGTATACTGATTTACTAAAAAGCTTGATTCTTGATAACACGTCATTCAAATCGTCTTATATGGTAGACAGCAGATAATGCATAAAACCTTTGGTTATTAGAATTTGGTGTGAAAATACAGGTATAGAAGATGGCAAGGGGAAATTACATATACACTTATATAAAAATATTCTTGATGTTCCGTTGTAATTTCTTATGTTAAGCCCAATTTCCTTTAAAAAAAAAAAAAAGAAAAGGGGGGGGGCGGATTCCAGGGCTACAGGGGAAGAAAAATCTTAAACACTAGAGAACTGATGCTGTATATGCTAGATACAGCATACTTTAAAACATACTTTGTGTGTTAAAGATGTGAGAAGATTTTATTTATGTTAGAGGTTTTGCTGACCTCTGCTGGAGCAAGAATTATTTGCAATTTTTCAGAATGCCGGAAAGTGTTTCTCTGTACGTCGTAGCTATGATGAAATGGTTTATCTTTAAATTCTGAAGGGAAATTTCACTCTAACTCCTTTTCCTACTATACTATAACATGATTCCAGTAACTCTTATTCCTCCCTTCACTTGCTGTTATGATGTTGTTAGTGGCAATGAGAACAGATCTGCCCTCTAGCAAAATGTGAGTTCAGGAGAGAGTGGGGAATATTTCCTTCCTTGTTGCAAGCTGTCAGTGCTATGATGAATGGAGAAATGTGCTCTTGCAGTTATGAGAATGCAGGTTTAGCAACTGGAAGGAGGTTCTTGCTTCTGCTATTGCCTTTACTCTTTTGGGGATCACATCCATTTAAGCATAATGAGCCCCAGCTCACAGCTACCCACTCCTTCTCTCTGGATATCTTGCCTATCTCCCTCAACTCACTGGGAGTTGATCTTTCTTCCAAAACTCATGCTCTTATTTTGGCAGTCAATCCAGCCTGGAACGCAAAGGTAATTGCAAGTTCTATTTCACCTGCAGCGTGCCTTAAGATTCAGCTGTTTACCTTCACATAGCTAAAACTCCACAAATCCTCATCTCCTGAAGTGATGATTAAATACTCCTTTGATTATACCTGTACCTAGTGCATATCCATCATAAAATTTCTGTATTATCTCTTCCAGTGTGATCTGAGTGGCTTGAACTTGCAGACCCACGTTTGTAGCAAAATGCCTTAAGTGTTGTACCAGTGTAGTACAGTTTTGTTTCATTTATTGTTTTGCAGCATCTAATAGAAGTACTTTTGATATTAAAATAGGTATATTCAGTTATAAGACTTTGGCAAACTTCAAAATTGCTAACGATCAGTCTATGTATTTCTGTGGCTACTTTAGACATTTTTCTTATGCACTAACTCTAACGTTTTTACTGTTTTTTCAGGATATTCACATTGTACAGCAAATCTTTGCCACTGGACTTGGCATGTCGTGTCTGGGATGTGTTCTGCCGTGATGGAGAAGAATTCTTATTCCGTACAGCCTTGGGAATATTGAAACTTTTTGAAGATATTTTGACCAAAATGGACTTCATTCATATAGCCCAGTTTCTAACGAAGCTTCCGGAAGACCTGCCTTCAGAAGAATTCTTCACGTCCATTGCTGCCATTCAGATGCAAAGTAGAAACAAAAAATGGGCTCAGGTAAAGAGGGCGGGGGGCGAATCTTTGGTGAAGAGGTGATTGTAATGTACCCATGAAAATGGGGTTGGCAACGCCTGGAAGAATATTTTAGCAGAGCTAGGGTTTGATTTTACAGTTGAGTAGGACTGTGTAGCTCACTCCATGCTTTTAGTGTATATTCAGGTGAGAGGATTGCATGAGCTTTTCTCCTCTGGAAAGGGAGAGCTCAGTGACCATTCCACATGGAAACGTTGGATGGAGTTGATGAAGTATCATGCAACTTTTTTCATTTCTTAATTGCAAAGGATGCTAGTAGCACCAAAACTTGATATTTAAAAGCAGAAATTCGCTCTTTGGGTAACGATAACAATTTGTCAGGGCACGTCGCCAGATATTGAGTCATTACCTTAATATTGTTAGGGACTTAGTTTGCCTAATTTTGGGCTGCACAGAAGTGACTACATCTCTGACTTCTTCGCTGGAATTTAGCACCGAAGTCATTACTTTAAAAATTGTAGATTCATAACTATAGTTCCAGCTAAATTCCCGTTTAAAAGAAGAAAGATAGAATTGTGTCGTCTGAACGTAACAGTTAAGTGGCTGTAACGGCCGTTCAAGACGCTGGGGAGTTGGGTCAAACGCACATAGCATTTGGAGTGGAAACTCTTGTTTTTTGCTTCATAGCAGCAATACAGCATGTTTCATGAGTCATGCCCTATTAGATCTGTGCCCAGTTCTTTTTTGCAGAGAAAGAGAAGGGTGATGTTTAACTTAGCAGTTACAGCATTTAGCTGCAAAAGGAAATTCATGGTTATTTCCTGGAGTAATAGTCTGTCTGTGCACTGAGGGTACAACCAACTGGCTGTATGAGATGAGAATTTCTAACCTTCACAGTAGGAGAAGAGATCATACCATTCTGAGTCTTTCCTTGTGTTTAAGAGGGAGCACAACACTGCTAGCATGTCATCCATGAAACAGCTTTCCTCGCAGCTTATTTTGCATTTATCTTCAGGTCTTGGTGAGAAGATGCTACTACGGATCCATCTTTATTTCTGTCCTCAACAACGTTTTTCAGCCAGCGATGTCTCTACAAGTAACCTCCTCGTCTTGTTCCTCATTCACGTGGTTCGCTTTCTGTGCACCTGTTCTATGTGAATGAGGATCCACATACCAGACAAATTCTCAGTCTACTGCAGCTTCAGATCCTTGCAAAGAAGGGGATAGGGATCTTATTCTGTCAAATACCTCGAGTAACAGGCCCGTCTTACTTATTGAGTGGTTTTCAGTCTGTCACCTGTGAAGGCTTAGTGATGATTATCACAACAGGAGAACTTCAGAGTGATCTAGCTCAAGTGGGCTTCCTCAGTCTCCCCATCAGCTTCATTCTGAATGCACTGAAGTTTCTCAGTTTGTCTTGACTTGCCATAGCAAATTGAAGAAAAAATGCTGCTGGACTGTGGTTCAAAGAGGTCTCGAACTGAAATGAGTTTGCGGCAGGGTTGGTACTGGCTGAGATCTTGCCTACCTTGTTGACTTCTGCACCAACTATTTGTCTTCGTCATAGTTGTTGTATTGTTGAAGGAGTTCCCATCAGGAAAACCTTTTCACTTCCTTAAACCTGCTGTTCTTTTCCAAGCCAGAAGTGGTTAGGGGCTAAAGGTTTGCTTGCAAGCTGTACGTACTAGTACTTCTCAGTTGCTGAGATACCACTACTGAACCAGCTTAGGAACAATAACAAGACACAGCGTATGGGATTTTGTTTTCTTTTACTGAGATGCTGATTGTGCTGGCCTCGTCCTTCTCTTCACTCTTTAAAGTTGACCAGAATGAACTTGGACTCAGAAGTCTGAACTTTGCTTTTCCAGGACGGACGGGCTTTAGGCAGTGTGCAACCTGATTGCACAGGTGGACTCATAGCAGTGGCATGGGGAAGTAGGATCTGGCAGTGCTGGGGCCTGTGGCAGCACGCGCCCACGTGATCTGAGAAGTGACAGTGACTATTGCTCTAGAAGTCAGATGCTGTGTTGTAGGATCTGCCCGTTCTCTGCAGGGAAATACCTTTCTGAGTTACCAAAATCAAGGTCAAGCCTGATGGATGCACCACTTTTAAGGTAAACTCTTAGGTGGACTGACTGCCCAGGGGCACTGCTTCCCAGAGGAAATAAAATGCTCTTAAGCTTAGAAAAATGGGCGTTCGCATCTCTGGCGTCATCTTGTTCAGCTGCAGTGACTGTACTGCATAAGCAAGCAGCGTAGCTAAGGTGCTCTCCTCTTTTAGAAATATATTTAACTGGATGGAACTGAGACATCAGATCTCGGTAGCTGATGTCTGTGGCACTCTCAGCACGCCCACTTACTGAACCTTTCACCTTGCTGTACCATAATAATTTTGCTCCTGGTATCCTATGAGCCATATTCTGGGATTATGCTGTCTAGAGATAACGTATGTCAGACTTCATCTAAAAGGCTGCTTATAGGCTGCTTATGAACTGAAATACAGCTTCAGATCTCAGCTCCGTCAAGTTTTCCAAATAACTAAGGAATCTGAGCTCTCTGTTAAGTTGCTTAAGGTCTACATTTTATGCTTTCCTAGACGGGTATTTCAGTGCCATTCTAAAGTTCCTGAGAATGGTTAATTTTTTCCATCAAGAACATTGTCACTACAGCACTTAGAACTTTCATGCGTTCATTTGATTGAGTAGCCGTTGATTTACACTGAGCCTCTTTGAAGAGCCTCTGAGTGAAAGATCTCTTCAATTCTAGAAGTTGTTGAATGGCCAGCTAGCTGCAGCTCTAGTCATACCTTTATCGAACTCTCTTGTTGCAACAGGTATGGGTGTTTTTGCGGTAAATATAGGCAGTACTGTGTGATTGCTTTACTTAGGCCCACGTCCTGTTAATTCTGATGGTGCAGAAGTTTCTTTAACTGTACTGTAAACTAGACTGTTGATCAGAGAGAGAAAAGAAGGTTTCTCACCCATAACTGCAGTTTTCGGAGATGAAATGTCTGTAAGTACATTCAATTCCAGGCTGATTCGTGGGGATGCTGCTGTGCTGTTTCAGTGGAAAAGTAACCAGGTAGCAGGGAATGCATTCCACTTAAGCAGCAAGAAAAACTGGGTATCAGTGTGCCCTCTGCAAGTCACGAGGGCTAAGGAAACGAAATTATGCATCCGATAATAGGGATATAAATTTTCAATCTGAATGTAAATGCGAATGTTTTTGATTCAGAAAAGCTTACATAAACAGACCTGGAGACAAAGTGATGTGGTCTAGGCAAACACCAATCAGTGCTATGGTAATTCTGTCCTGAACTCTTGGATAGTGTTAAACTATTTAGGCTGCTCAGTTGCTGTGTTTTTGGACAGGTCATTTATCCTGATAATTCTAACTTCCCCTCAGGCAGCTGCTTTTAATAGTGATAGACTTTTATAATCCGGGTAGGAAATTAGGAATCTAATATCCACGTTTCAAAGTGCGTATGTAAGAGGTTAGCTAAAACCTTGTTTGTTGTTGTTGTTGAATCCATTCAAACTTACTATGCCCCAGGGACTTACGAGAGAGGTTGCATTCAGTGGAAAGCCTTCCTAAACTTGCTTACTTTTAATAGTGAAAATGGTATTGTTTAGAGGAAGTTCTTCAAACAATGATTTATTGAGTCACTTTTTAATCTAATACTTTTTCTCTCTCACTTCTTGAAATGTCTAGATACTGGCTGCTCTGCAGAAAGATAACCGGGAAATGGAAAAAGGAAGTCCTTCGCTCAAACGTTAGAACTGTGGTTACCTCAAGTGACTCACCAGAGAAAGAGCTAAAGTGGCAAAAGTATTGAGTACGGTTTGACATATATGAGCCTGCAAATCAAAGTGTTATTTCATGGTTTTGTTTAGCAGTAGGATAGCCTTAAAAGGGAGAGAGGGAGGAAAAAGGAAACCTAGGCTTAGCCTTAAACTGCTAGTAGAATGAGCATTTGCAGTGGACGGCATCACATTCTGTACTTCTGATGAGAGCAAGTGAAACAAAACGATATTAATTTTTTTAGGTTTTTTTCCTATCATGTTTTAAAATATTGGGCATTCAGTAATGTTGACTGCTTTGAAAACTATTCCCCAGTTTAATTCTTAGGCAGGATATATTTCCCATACCCATAAGAATCATTGAATCTGGATTTTAAATAGCTGGTGCTGAAGTTTATAGTTAAATGATGTTAAGGACCATTTGTTTAGAAAAGCTTCTTGGGTTTTTTGTTTTTTATAGCCTGTATGTCCTATTTACCAAAGAAATCACATACATATAGAACTACATTCCATTCCTTAACAACAAAAAAGTAGTAGAAAATAAACTTGGAAGAGAAATCACGCTAGCACTAGTGCAAAGCACTTTTTTTTTTTTTTTTTCTTTCCCCAAGCTGCCTTGCAAATCTCTGTTTCCAATCTGAATGTATAGGGAAAATGTTCCATTCATCCAGTTAGATTCCAAACTTGCCAGGAGGGTTTCTAGTATTAAGCTGCCACTATGTCCCGATTTTACTCGTGCTTTCCTCTGTGTAAAAACGGGTCATATACTACTAAACGTATGCTTCCCTCTATCTCTCTTCTGGGGCAGTGCCATTTCAGGGTGCTTTGGCCTGCCCAGCTACTTATTCCTATGCCATCTGGCATTCCAGGGCCATAACTGGAGAGTTATGCTAATAAAATTTTTTGTAGGCTGAACAAACAAACCCGAAAAACAGTTAGAAACAATTTTTATAGTTACATTTAACCCAGCTGTGCTCTGGCAAAACTGAGGAGGCTGGTATATGGAGAATTTACGTAGGCCTACTTTGCTGCTGAAAAGAACGGTTATGTCGGAACTTTTTAAGCTGCTGTTACCACAGGAAAAGGGTACGTGCAGCTGAACTCTGTTAGTGACAGGAGAGAGAATTTTGTCGAGGAATGTGTCAGACAGATACTAGCAGGATAAGTAAAAGCTGTCATTTCCTAGTTCCTTTTTAGGGTAGTTGTTTTGTCCAGCCTGTAATACGTGTGAGCAAGTTAGAGACAGCAAACTGCAGTTGCGTATTTGTTGCACAGCTTAAGTTCTCTCTGCATTCAGCTGAATGTCTGTGTGTAAATCATGAGTGCCTGTGATTTACAAGGATGTTTATTGCATAACGTATAGAGTAAAATCTATTTTATGAATGACTGTCACTGAAAAGGGAAACTAACTGAAGCAATATGTGTATTTAGCCGTAAACGGGAATTACTAAATCCTCTAGCTCTACAGTCTTATGTTTCCCATTACTCTTCAGTCTGTTTTATGCTGTTTTGGCATTGTCTGAAGTACAAATGTACAAGAGAATTGGAAAACTAAAAAGGTGGGAATAACAGTTGCATATTGCTCAGCTCGAATACGGAACACACAAAATATAAGAATTGTGGGACATATGCAAAATACTGTCCATTAGTACAAAACCATTAATTCTGCGAGTGATACTTGGACTGTAATATCAAAAAGACTGAAATGCAAAATTCCTGGAAGTGTTTGAGGACTCCTGATCACTTTGAAAGCTCTGTAATGCAAACGCAGCTTGCAAGTCTGTTACCTCACTGGCCTCTCTTCATGTCCACTTTGTGTACCTAGTGTAATGGATTTTTTTTTTTTTTGTTAACCATCTTAATTGCTCCAGAAGACTTCTTCTAGGCCTCGCTTACTGAAAACAGACTTCAAAATGTTGATATGTGAATACATCCTAATTCTCCCAGTATTTGCATAGCTTTGGTTCTTTAATGACTGGTACTTGTGTTCTACATGCTTTGAAGTGCAATAGAAAGCTGGAAGGTCAGTAGGTGTTTTGGGTTTTTTGTTTGTTTTTAATATTACATTTTCTATTGCTACAACAAACATGCCTTTTTGTGAAGGGTATGAGAGGCCTAAAATCTGAAACATTTGCACTATACTTCTAAATGGTTCATTAAGCATACAGACAGCTCTTTCCTCAGTATACATTTGTTAGGTGGTACTGTAATTTTAAAGTCTTCGTTGCACCTAGATGTGTATTTCCTTTTAAACCAAGTCTCCAACAAGTGTGGCTCACTTGTCTGGTTAGAATGCATTCTTTAGCCACTAGGTACCTTTGCAGCCGTCTCCAGCCTGTTCTCCATTTTCTCTTCTCAACAAAATGTTGAATGTAACACTGAAAATGGGCTTAGTTGTGGGAAAAGGCCTGCTGCAGCACTTGTGCACTGTTTGTTACTTGCAAATGTAATTATTTTTGTTCTGTAATTTGATCTTTCTGTTCTTAGAAGATGTATATATTTTCTAAATGATTTCTTTGTGTATATAAGCTATGTTCTTTAATGAAGAAAAGCAATGCAATAAGGAGCTTTGCACAGTTTGTTTTCAAACAAAATGCATTTGAAAAAAAAAAAATCCACCTGCCTAAAGATGCAGTTGTTTCAACTTCGGTAACTTGATTTGAAGATAAAGCTTGAATTTTGATAAAAACAGAGATGTGTAGTAATGGCATAGAATTACTTGCCACTAAGCTTTTTCAGTTTCTCGCAGCATACCAAATTTCTTAATTAGCCATTAAAGGTTTCTGTAATAAATTCAGGGATTGCATAAAAGATTTTGACAATTTTATTGTTCAGGTGCTTGAGAGCATCTGTAACATGATGCATGAGATTTTTCCCTCATTCAGCAAGTGTCTCTCTGTAAAGCAAACGTTTTTCTTTTCATCATGGATTTAAAGAAAGAAAAATGCTGCAATACATCATAAATCTGCAACTGTCACTTGCTCATGCAGCAGATGAGAGAAACCAGAAAACTTCGGTCAGGTTTGGAATTCTGTGCAACCTGCACTTTATAATAAAGCCGTTTTGCAACTTAAAGTAATCAATCATTAAAATATTTCATTTAGTAAAGACTTTCATTTTAAAGGTACTTTATAACAGCTTATTTTTGAATGTTTTAAAAGTTAGAATGACATGTAGAGAACTGTTGATACATCCCCTGTACATCATGTTTAAATTGTTTTTATGTAGTTACTGATTTGTTTTGTTTAGATATGTGTATCAAACTGGAACTTTTTTCAACTGTAAATATGTGGTTTTATTAAATAAAGTTATCTTAATCACCTGTTGTCATTGTAATTGAAAAATTAAAACTGTAAGTATCTGTCTATTCACAGGCGTCTTAGTAATTTTTGTCTGCTCAAAATCCTGGGCTCTCTAGGTATTTAAATGTTATAGTGAGAGGATTTTTTGGTGACGCCTCTCAAGATCTCATATTAAAACATATATTTTTATCACATATAAAGGTGATATTTAGAAGACTGGCTCCTTATTGAGCCCATGGTCTAATCCATTTCACATGCCGTTCTCTGCACTAGGTTTGAATCTTAGTGATACGTTTATTAAAAAAAATTAATGCAAATATAATAATACATACTACTCTGTATTGAGATAGTTGTGACATGCACATAACTCAGGAACAGCTGAATACCTTTTCTTTTCTTTGTTTTCCAGGAGGAAATCTTGGTTTATTTGTAGGTTTCATAATTACAAGGTATTGTTGTGCTCTGACTCTAAGGCAGTTATTAATTCTTACGTAGGTGTACAACTCCAGCGATTAAATGGAGATGCTTCCTGCCTCTTAATTAACTGAAGAGGGATTAAAATACCAACTAACAAATGAAAGCTAGATAAAAGCTGGGGATGGGGAGACAACAGGGGCGTAACAGCACTGCACGGGGAAAAGCAGTCAAAGACTTGACTGACACTGTTCTAGTTTCTCTAGCAAATGCCTGTCTCACTTCTTTGTACTGAAGTGTCTTAGTTGGATTTGGTTGGTTATAACATACAATCAGAATTGCTTTATATAAGCCTATACCAACTTCATTGATACTTATATTGCATATATTACAGAAGTTGCATAAAATCGTTTAAAACTAGGTTTACTTTTCCTTATCTGTTTTCCCTGTACTAATTCCATTCTACTTGAAGACAAGTGAGACTCCTTCAGGGAGCTTTGGAGGACCAGAATATCAGCAGGTTGTCTCAACAGCTCCGTTCCGGGAAAATAGGTCCTGGAGGCAGTGTATGGAGTAAACAGATGCCTCAGTAGTATTTCAGTAGAAATATTTGGGTCGGGGACAGGGAATATACCGTGAATATACCGTGTATATACCGGGAATATACAGGGAATATACCGTGGCAACCAAAAGTTTTGGTTTTTTCCAGACGTCAAACATGCAGCACTGAAAAGCACCTAAGATTTACGTTGCCTGCTTCTCACTCCCTTTGCCCTTTTGCATTTGTTGCTTAGTAATGTTTAAAAAGTTGAGGGAAGATTCCTGTGTCTTATGCCAAAAGGAACAGGAAACATAAAGAGAATTTTCCTGGCAGGAATTTGTAGTAGAAGTCAAAATAGAGGAAAGTAACTTCCACTTTTTTAGGGAGATGAGTGCTTAATTATTTATCAAAGCAGCAGAATGCCAAGAGGCTGCTCAACTTGCCCAATAGCCACTCGTAGGAGAAAAGCTCACATTTGGTAACTAGGCTTAAAGTGAAAGATAATGTTTTAATAAAGTTTTTCAGGTTACGTGGTTTGCAGTTGTCTCCTTTACTATCCAGCAACAGATAGAGGAAGACTTAACTGGTATTTTGTAAAAAAAGGTTTTGAATACAGTTTTAGTTTTGTAATCTCTCTTCATGAGCTTGGGAGCTACTGAAGACACAGAACACGTGAGTTGTTTGCAGAAGAAGAGTGTAAACTGTTTCACTTTGTTTTCTGTAATCATTCTGCAAAACTGTAAAGATCTTAAAAGAATATATTCAATTGCTACTACATGACTGGAATAAAGAATAAAAAATGATTGATCTCTTCAGACTGCCATTCCACCATGATAAAAGAACAAGATTTAAGCCTTCAACAGCATAATACTTACTTTAATTATTTATGTCCTTTAAAGAGCCAGGCAATTCAGAAAAGCTAGTTCAGAGGTCATTTAAAAAGAACAATGTAAGGAAATAGCTTTATATAAAGTTTATCTATGCTTGTATCCCCATGTAAATGCCCTCTGTAATTTGTGTCCTCCTTTTTAATATATATGCAACTAGAACCAACAACTCAAACCCAGCTTGACAGTACTACATCCCTCAGGATGGGATTCGAACCTGTCACAGAAAACCAAAAGATTTAAATTCCTGCTCTTTGCCAGTGGGACCTGTGTGCATAGGCTGCCTGCCTGCCTTTGAACACTTGAATATGGTCCTCAGTACTTAACTCAGACTACCAAAAATGACACTAAAGCATCACAGTCTACCTAAGAAATTAGTGGTATTTTTGTTGGTTAATTGATTTCTGTGCTTTTCTAGGTAGGATTTATTCAATAATTGAGCGCATCAGCTAGTGATGGCCTGTAAGGAGCCCACTAAGGTTGAGTTCCCCTCAGTAGCGAACATACTAAATCAGAGCTCCAGTACTTTGCTGGCTTTTCTAAGATATTTCCATATTCTGGATGTCATCTGATGCTTTTTACGAAATTAATACTACAACTGAGGTATCAAGTGCTGCAGGATGCAGAACAGTGCCGTAGTCATTGATTGCCACAAGCCACATGGGAATTAATAGTTGAAGAACATTTATGTTATTTTGAAAGGGAAGCTGTGCACAGGAACCAAAGTTCTGTGGGCTGCGGAGTCATAAAGGTGTTAAGTTCTGCCTCTCCCTCCCCTCTTCCTCAGTCTTTTTTTTCCTGGAATTGTGATACACTACACTTGGGTAGTGCTGAAAGGGCTTACACCACTCTGTGCATCTTCACACACCGGGAACGAGGGCAAGGCCAACAACCCCCTAACATTGCAGAAGTTGAAAGACAGAAGAAAAAAAAAAACAAAAAACTAGTTTTGAATGATAATATGTCTGTATGCATCTGAACCGCAGATCCTGAAGAATAGGAATTCTTAAAGTAATAAATCTTCCTTTTGTGCACCAACAAATTTTGCAGGCAGTTATATTTAAAGAATGAGTAAGTAATTTAGTGCTTTAGTGTAGTGGCTGTATGTAAACCATGTCAAGTTTCAGTAATAAACTTCTCTTTAGGTCTCAGTCACATCTATGGGAATTAACCCTTACGACGTGCCTAGAAGGCATGTATGTTTATTTTACAGATAAAGAGTTGATCCTGAATTCTAAAAGCCAGATGGAGGCTCCCAGAATCAAGATTTGAAGTAGAATATGTTTGCTTAGTGCTCTGCTTAAAGAACATTGCCATGGCCTTAAAGGACTGAATGCTGAGATGTATTTTTAGCAGTCTAAGCTTTTGAATGCGTGTGAGGTTTTTTTTTTTTAATGAGTTTAGCAAGTTTTTATGTAGTTTCATTCAAAATAAGTAGCTCCACTGTAATCTCTCTACTGAATGCATAGCGCTAATATGGAATTTAGGAAAGACTTTCTAGGTGTACATGTGATGCATTCCCCTGGACTTAAAAAATTACAGAAAACTCCTTGGTTTATATCTTTTTCCTGCTTTCTTTTCCTCAGTCGGCCTCAGCAAGGTAAAAAGGACCTAGCTTCCTTGATCTTTTTCTGAATTCCCTTGCATGTAAGGATCAGATCAGCATGGTGACATTTCAGGATTTCTAATCGCTGGCTTAACAACTTTACAGTATCCACCTTTTCCTCAAAGTCCCGAAGCAACGTCTCGTTTCCAAGCAGCCCACATTTCTGCTGCAATTTCAAATTGTCTATCCGCAACCTGTCTCTGGCCTGCTTTGTTCTGGTCAGAAGGTCTCTCTTCTGTGACAAGATAGCCTCAATGTCCATCAGTTCAGCCTTTCTCCCTTGATTCTCAGCTTCCACAAACTGTAGTTTTTCCTTGAACTGGCTGAGAATTTGCACCGTATCAGAGATCTTCTTTTGGAGCTTCTGCAGTTCATCACTGAGGTCGTCAATCCTTTCACTGTATTTCTGATTCTCTTTCTTCAGCTGCTCAAAGTCTATAAAACATACTCCGTCTGTCCTTTCTCCCTGGGCTTTCAAGACCAATTCAAGCTTTTGGATTTCATGCTTCAGCTTGATGTTTTCCACACGGGCCTGGATGAACAGGAAAAAAAAAAAAAGATTTATTTTAATCCCTTGTCTTGCCAAAGAAGAACATTGCAAAGTAGGTAACAGCAATTAAAAAAAAAAAAACTTCAAAGGGAGAAAAATATCTAGCATCTGCTGCTGTTCTTTAACATGAAGTGGTAGATATTAGCCTTTGTTGTCCCGGAAGGCAAGCCCCCTATCTGTAAGACGAGCAAAAGGCAAATCCTTTCGCCAAGAGTCAGGCAGCCGGCCAGGGCCTCACCTCGCTCACTTCTTCTTCTTTGAGCCGCTCC